AGCAGCTCCAGAGGAGCTAGGGAGCTCCATCGCTCCGATTAATATGACACATTTCCCATCACGAGCAAATCCATACATCTTCCTTAAGCTGTGACTGCCTGGTTTTAAGCTATTGATTTCCAAGCTTAACAGCACAGTAGGAAATATCAAACTAAACAAGAGCACATCAATTACAGGTTCCTCACAGCCCACTTTCATAAGTGTATGTCTGCTYAGTCAGCTAAGTTAACCAAGAATTAACCAACTCAAGCGTCGATCCTTGTTTTTCAGTCAGTGATGTTTTCAGTATTATCTCAACAACCAAAATGTGGCTGCAGGTATGTGGCTATGTATTTGTGCAAATAATTCTGCAAAGCGGTGATGATAAATAGCTGACAACACACGGCTATAAAAAGCATAAAGAAAGGATACAATTCTTAAATGAGGTAATACACACGGGGATATTTTTCCACACTTTGTGCAATTTTTGTTTTGTGCAGTTTTTGTTTTGGGTTTTTTTTTTTTTTTTTTTTTTTTTTTTTTTTTTTTTGAGCCCTGCTGGAAGCATAATGAATTTTTTGTGGGGCAAAACTGCATTATTTAAATGTTTTGTTATGGCATATGTCCCCTCTGGATGGGAGCTGTTTTCTTCTAATATATATCCTAAAGGTCTGCTAGCCATTTCACAAAGGCTGTGACCTGAATTGTTTCTGCATGTATGTTTTTCTAATTGAAAAAAAAAAAAGAAAAAGTGCATAGATTTAACTGAGTTTCCCCCCTCAAAAAAAAAAAGAAGTAGAAATTCTGTCTGAAAAGCTGGACTGATCTTTTTTTTTATTTGGAAGATAAATTATACCTCTGTTAAGGAAAAGTTGCATGATGTATTGCAGTATTTTTTAGTCTCAGTTCAGATTATATTCAAGGGGGAGTTCCATTCTCAGTCCCAGCTGGATTTTTCTTCCACTTAATGGTATAGCTGAATGAGAGTTGGTATGATAAGAAGATTCATTTTACACGTTATCCTCACATCTTTTCTGGCTGTACTAATAGAGCTTTGTCCAATATACTCAAAACCTAATGGAAACTGAGGTGCTTTTCAGCCCTGCTGGTGTTGCCCGTAGCCTGGTCAAATCTGGAAATGTTCATAGCCCTACCTGGGCCTGTGGGATGTGATCTTTACGTAGGAAAACTAATACTGCCTGATAAAGAGCACTGAGATGTAAAATGGAAAGACAGTGCTAATCACTCCTTTCAGCACAGAGGGAAATGGTCTAAAAATGGAAGATATAGAAATATATCCTGCACATTTTGTTGAGTGTTTTGTGCCAAGTGAATAGATACATGGGATAGCTTAATGATCTCAAGAAATTGGACTAAGTCACAAGCAGACTCTTAACCCTTAACCCTCTTCCAGTCACAATGCAAGTCTTGGACATTCCTTTCCCTTTTATTTATTTATTTTACTATTTTATTTTTAATAAACCTGGGAAATACTTCACAACTCTTCTAGAAGAGTGGCTATRACAACTGAACAGTGAGACTGTGAARTGATAGTTTTCCATGACACAAACTACTTTCCATGACATGGAGCTACTGGATAGAGACCAGCATAGGGCTACCAAGATCATCAATGGATGRGAGCATCTCTCCTATGAGGAGAAGGTGAGAGTTGGGCCTGTTTAGCCTCGAGAAGAAAAGATTGAGAGGGGATCTGATCAATATGTATAAATACCTTAAGGGAGGATGTTATAAGGTTAGGGCCGTACGAATTCTGTGGTGGCGAGGTCACAAACTGAAGCACWGACAGTTCCTTCTAAACATGAGGGGAAACTTCTTCACTGTGAGCATGACAGAGCCCTGGAACAGGCTGCCCAGGGAGGTTGTGGAGTCTCCTTCTCTGGGGGTCTCCAAACCCGCCTGGATGCCACCCTGTACCGCRTGCTCTAGGTGTCTCTGCTGGAGCAGGGGGGTTGGACTAGATGATCTCAGCGATCCTGTGATTCTGTGAGCCCTGAGAGCAGAGCTGGCATGGCCTCATGGGCAGATTGAAAATAAAAGTTTTGATAGGATCATTTTCTGCTATTTCTCTTCACATAATCCAATAATAATATATAGCTAGAATTGTTGAGTACTCTGCTATTATTACTAGATTTTACTTTCAAATAATTTCTAGATAGTGTGGCTACATGCAGAAGTGGCACTGTAGAAAACAGATAAATCTGTTGTTTTGTCTTATTTTGTTTTCATTGTCTTCAATGAACTAACTTCTATTATGTTTTTACAAAGTGTTCCATTTAGCACAAAAATATTACTGATTCAGGCTTTTCCTTGAGTGAAAAATCAAGAAAAGCAAGAAAACTTCAGAAAAATAAGTAGGAGTGGTAAAATTACATTTAATTATATTTTAAGTACAAAAGGAAGAAAAATGAATAATTCCCAATAAAAGCAAAGTATATTTAAATTATTTTAGAGTGTGCTTTCTATTACTGGCATTTAGTAGTCTTAGAGATGAGGCAATAGTYAAATATCTGTGCTTGTTTGGAGTSTAATGATTAATATCCACCAGAATCAGGAAAAATAAACAATATATATTGCTGGTCTGATGGGGTCTGACTGATACTGCTTGCTAGTGATAGAGTTCAATATTGAGTGGCATCAATCCCTGTCAACAGGTATGGAAATGGATAGTCATATATTAAGTCTGCACAGGCCGCTTTAGTTCTGCCTTTTCTAACTGTTGGGTTCTTCTCTTTGGTGATCTTTTAGTATCAAACTTAGGGGATATGTATGTATATAGGCCATTGCCCAAGACTATTGTGTATAAAAAGTATTTAATATAATAAAAAGGTGCACAGATACAAACTATTTCATGCTAAATTTGAGAGAATTGAGTTTCCTTGCTTTGCTGAGACTGTTAATACTGTGAATTCAAGATTTGTACCATTAACAGATACATGCCCCAAATATGCACTCACATACCTATTTGCTAGATACAGCAACTCATTACAATGTTCAAGTGTGTAAACAAATCCAAGCAAAAAGCTAGATCCATTGACAGGAATTTATATAAAATGTTTGATTAAGCATTATCCCATTGCCAAGCTGTTTTCTCAAACCCCGGTGTCTTCATTATGATATTACTGATTCATTCCTTTTTCTTCTTCTAACTCCTATTTTTAGTTAGATATTGAAACATGAGTTTTAAACAGATGACATGATCAAGGTCAATTAAATATCTCGAACAGAACCAAGCACCACACTTGCATTTTTCCCTGGTTGATACTTTAGTAATCGTAAAATCCTTCCTTTCTTTTAATGCTCAGTAGACTTCAGCTCTTAAAATTTCACACCATTAAAATTTTGTCTAGTCTTGTGATTTTTTTAAGTCAAAATAGCAAGACAAATGCTCTTCTGATAGTTTCATTGMGTGAAATTAAATATCCTCAGTTTTAGTAGGATCCAGTCTCCAGGACTTCAGCTGTATTTGTTTCACTCCTCCTTGCATGGACTTTTGTTCCTACACCAGTAAAAAGGTCTTATTTCAACCTCCAATTGCCATTCTGTACACATCTTCRGCTGTGCATTATCACTCACCTCTTTTTTTTCACTTTCATTTTAAGGCCCATTCTGGCAGAAAATTAAAACTTCCTAAATGTTAAAATATTTTCCGTCATTGCTGATGGATACTTTATATTTTGAACTGCTGCATTCAAGCCAGGCATCTATCATCCTGACCTCCAAATTTTTGATCCATCAAAGAAATGAAATTTCTAAGCATTGAATTACCTTACTCTACCRTGTTACAATGGGATGCTCTGCAGCACAATTTTACTCACTACTACAATACTCAGTAACCCAGCGGATAGTGTTGTAAGAGTGAYGTTTGCCTAGAGCCACTTGTGGTTGTGCTGGTGAGCCCTGGTTAGCCAGATCTACACACATCATTCTATTGTGACAGCAACAATATATATTAATAGATGAGTCATCCATGAATGTGATGTTTCCTGTGTACTAGTTGGTTTTAAATTTAATTCCTTGGTGGACTGAATAGCGTCCAATTACTAAAATGAAACAGTCAAGAGTGTCTTTATTTTCATAAAATAAAAATGGGGAAGAAGGGTCTAAGAAAGTTCACACTTCTCAGTAAAACATAAATTAAGTAATACTGCAATAGAAATGCTTAGTTAGACTTAAAAAAATCAGTGAAGTCTTTTAAGATCTGAGTTTTATCATYGTGACAAAAGGGTGAAATTATTATTATTACCTTATTTAATTTTTAGTAATATTTCACTTTCTGTTTGCTTGCTTTATTCTAAAGTAGCTAGGCACACCTTATATGTTCTCCTTGCGATTAAAAACAGATTACAGTGCTCTTCAAAGTTTTCTCTTCAAAATACATTCAGGCAAAAAACAGAAGGTGAACAGAACAATAAGCCTTTAAACAAAGAAAGTCTAATAAAGAAACTACTAAGCACTAAATATAACTGGAAGAACCTACTTTGGAGACCCAAGTATATGTATACAATGATGCAGGTATGTAAGTATTTACGTATTTCTTRTATGATAATACTGGCAAATATTTGTACTGTAATTTAGTCAATTCTATTAGATAAACCTTATGTAAATAGATACCTAACTTTAATTCTGGTTTCAAGAGYAAGAGGGAGTATTTTATAGACATTACCTGTTTGAAGAAGATTGTTTGCCCTTACTAAACATAGGCATGTGTATATATAAACATATATGTATACACCTAAGTATTTGTATTCATTTATATGCACTTAAGTATTAACTTAACTATGTGTACATATACACATATATATGCACACACATTATATATGTATATAAACTCATGAAGTTAGATATTTGCATAAATATATRTGCATATAAATATATATATGCACACACACACACAGAGGCACAGGCACACCTGATAYCTAACATGTAGTCTGTGGCTTCAGCAGCCTTGGCTAAAGAAAACCTCTACTGCTGTTGGTTGAACGTGGATGAAACTCTTGCCCTTACTCATATTTGCTGTCATCAGGTGCATTAGCAGGAGACACTTCCAACAGTAGCTGTAAGTAGCAAGTAATTTTATCAACAAATGCAAAATGCAATTTAAAATGTATAAAAGGCAAATAAACAATGATGCTTCCCAGCATAAACAGGAAAGCATAAACATATTGCAACTTTGGAGCCCAGATGATAGGAGCCAAAACTAAGAAGAAAGACATYGCCACCATGACAAATGGAACTGGTAGAAACACCTGGAAAAAAGGCAAAAAAATGTTTGAGGAAGTAAACCAGCCAGCTATGATTTCAAGCATAAGAGTAATAGCGCAGTCTTTGCTACACTATAAATACCATTTCTCATGTTGCTGCAATCTTACCCTGGTTGAAATTCATGCATCTAAAATTGTTTAAGATAGGTGTCTTTTCTAAAATACCTATATAGGCTCCTTCTATTATCACAGGGAAGAGGCAGGCATCACTAAAAGTCCTTCCTCCACATATGTTCATATGGGCACTTAAAAAAATCCAACTTGTATACCTAGAAGTTCGAATACGCTTCCAATCCAGCATCTAAATGTAGGAAAATTCTATCTGTTTTAATGCCTGTGTCTGTGTCAAGAAAGATGAGAGTAGTCCCTGCCTGGCAGAGTCTGCCGTGAACGTCCAGCCTGTCACACTACGATAATTTCCTCTTTTACTTGACTGCATAGCACCCCCATCCCTCTAAATCCATCTTTTGTTCTCAGTTTTAAGCTCTCAATTATAAGCTCTCTAGGGCAGGGTCCATCTGTTTTTGCACCCTTTGTACAGTGTACAAAAGCAAAGGTATTTCAGACTATGAATAAGGACTCTGAACAATGTGATGATTATATTTTTAGTGACTATCAGCTTATGATTGCTGCTATCATTGCATTTGTTCTGTAACTCTTGCGTGCTAACCTTAACTATACCYTTAACTATAGAGTATATATATGTGAAAACGCTTAACAACTTATTTCCACTTACCTTGTATGGCCGATGTAGGTTGGGTTCCCGATACCGAAGCACAATCAGGCTTGCACAAGTCAATCCAATCATGAGCCAGGTTGAAAATCCAAAGTAATTTGTTAACATAATAAGGTCAGAAGGGATAACAAAAATGGATGCGATGATAGTTGAAAAAATCATGGCTGGTGCTGGAGTATAGGAGTGGACATTGAGCATGGATATCAAAATAGGTAAATGTCCTGACTGGCTGCCAGCGTAGCTTAGCCGACCTAATGTGAACATGCTGCTGTTGAGGGCACCAAATATTGAGACAGCAACAAACAGAGGAATGATCCAGGCAGCAGAGGGGATCACCCGATCAGCCCAGGTGACTGCCACAGCCACTGCAAGAGAGCAAAGCAGGAGTGACAGTGTGGGCACCACGTTCTGCATTAGTAGCAGGCTCCACAGTATGGAAACCTCACAAACACCAAGGTTTTATCATTTACTGACAGTCTGTTTTTTCTTACAAGAATCAAAAGTGACAAATCTAATCTTCAGGGTGTTTGATTCAGGAGTTAAAAATTTTCCTGAAGAATGATGTTGGGGAATACCACTGCCTGCTGGAGAGAGTTGGGCAAACCTGCTGTGCCAGTACCAAGGCAGGGAAAGAGCGCCGTGGAAGTGAGCAGCTCAGCTACAACGTAACGTCATGAATCCCAAATGTACCCCATGGGCAAGGCCCTTTGGGGAAAGAAAATGAAGAATTAGCTTCCTGCATGACCATGGTGGTGACATGATCTACTACCAAAAACTGCCCGCATGATGCATGTGCTTGCAGACAAGTCAGGGAGCGTGTTACTGATGGGGCTCTGCTTTTGGGTGGAACCAGGAAAATACGAAAGAGATTTTTTGAACAAAAGATTCTTGGTGTTTCCTGGACACTGGCCAATATTGTAGGGAGGGSTACTATTTAGAAGGCCTATAACCAAACGCTAAGGTGAACACAGGTCTTGTAGTTATATGTGCAGCAAATGAAGGAGAAAAAAAAGCTATAGTGAATGTATAAGAATTGCAGCAATATATAGCAGTGTTTGCATCTAAGCTCATAATTTCAAGGCTGTCTCCTTGGTTGAATAAATAGGCGTAGCTTCCCTGACATGTTTGATACTGTCTAYGACAGCTGGGTAGCTGGGATTCAGGGATACTCTGATATTCACTTTGATTCATTTCAGAAAGGCTCTGCAAACACATGCACTTCTCACAGCCTGCAATGGCCTCAGTGCCAAATGGAAGTTGCTGAATGACAGCTTCGAAACTCCCATTAACAGGCAAAAAGAAAAATAACAGCTCCAGCTAAATGAGATCTGTCTATGCTCACTCCTGGTGGAAAGGTCTGAGGGCYCAGTCTCATTAGGGTGGTATTTAAAAGGTGCTGTTTGGACAATTAAGAATAGCTACAATTCTTCTTTGAACTTTTTATGGACAGTTTAGGTACCACATCTGAGATAGGCTTCACATAAACAGCATTTTGAATAGGCTTTTCTAAAAAAGAGAATATATATCATGAAAAATCCAACCCAAAATAGCTACAATTTGGGGGCCTACAGYTTCTTCTATATTGCTTATCATGTCAGGCTTGTCCATCTCCTAAATAATGATGATTTTAGCTTTAAAGTTGGGAAGGAAGAAGGACAGAAGATTAAAATTACAGGAAAACAGAGGTCGAATCTATACTAAATGCAGCCCTGATGTCCACCTCATCTTGCAGCTTTTAACACATTTTGGATTTCTCTTTAGACAGAAATCAGAAATATTTTCAATATGTAATAGTCTGTGTGTATTCCATCCAACTTGTGCCATATGGTAAAATTAAACAAAGATTTTGTGCTAAAACTCAGAAAGAGCAGCTTCCTGCCAGTAATGTGTGGAGTGCACAGGTTACTCACTAAGCTGGCAGCGGGTGGGTATATTAATGAGCCACCCCTTATTAATGAGACAAAATAAAATCCATACCTGAGGAGACAATTTCCTTAGGAGTCAGGACAGTCAGATATGAGACATTTACCAGTAAATAAAACACAATTACTGCAGGAACAGCAGTCATCACAGTTAATGGGATATTTCTGCTAGGATTTTTCATCTCTTCTGAAAAATACAAGGTAAAAAGGAATTTGATAAAGCAAGCAACGTAGTCTCTGCAAGTGMGTTTCACAGGATCACAGAATGTTGAGGTTGGAAGGGACCTCAAGGAACCATCTAGTCCAACCYGCCCTGCTCCAGCAGGGACACCCAGAGCACGGGGCACAGGGCGGCATCCGGGTTTKGAAGACCTCCAGAGAAGGAGACTCCACARCCTCCCTGGGCAGCCTGTTCCAGGGCTCTGTCATCCTCACAGGAAAGAAGTTCTTCCTCACATGCAGATGGACTTCCTGTGTTTCAACTTGTAACCATTGCCCCTTGTCCTGTCACTGGACACCACCGAGAAGGGTTTGGCCCCCTTCTCCTTACATTCTCCCCTCAGGTTCCCAAGTTGAACCTAACAGAGAATAGATGCTCCAAAGCATCATCACAGSTCCTGAACTACATTGCCTGTGAGGTACTACCATGATTCTCAAATAGCTTGTTATTTAATAAACAAAAAATAATATATTTTTTTCTTATTTAGCTAATTTTCAACTATCAGATATCTTGGGAGAAGGGACAGGTAAAGACATTTTTTCTCTGATCTGATGAATCCAAAAATATGACTTTGCATTAAAAAGAGAGATTGTATATTTCAAAGTACTCCATTTTTACATCAAAAGAATGAACATGAGACTCTAAAATTAGTTTATTTATTCTTTACATCATCTCCTGACTCCTGACTTGAAGTATTAYGTTCAGTTTCCTATTCCTATACAAAACTTGGCTGTTATTTCAGGAAATGCATAAAATATAGCAGGAGAGCACTGTCAGAAGGGCAATAATGCAGTTACTTTAAATGGGACCATTTCCAACTGGGTTCTGCTGTTGATTCTCCTCGCCAGGGCAAAGCTGGCAGAAAAAAAGTACTGTGCGAGGTTGTCACCTTAAAACAGCCTTTATCACAGTAAGAAAAAGCTCCAAACTTCACATTTGAACCACTGAAGCACCTGCACATATTCCTAATAAATGACTGTGCTGTAAACCCAGCAAAAGATGGGAGTTGATTTCTATAAATAGGAATATCTTAAAATACACCCAGCCTTATCTCTAGAGGGAGCTGCACCTATGTAGCATCATGGAGAGGCTTTGCACATAAAGATTCTCCAAAACCCCCATTTTTATTCCTCATCTCAGTCAAAAAGGATTGAGGAAAATTATTCTATTTCTTCTCTTTCACTCCATTCTTTTCCCCTTCTGTCCCACTCTTTTTCCAGTCTTCCAAACRTGACTGGTCACAAGGGAAGGAGAAAAGTCAAACAGGGATGTAATAGGCTTAAGGTGGTAGGAGAGAGATGCTTCTTCCTCCCTCAAAGATCATTCCCATGTTCAGCACCCGAGTTTTAACCCTGGCCCCTATTGTGTAGTGCACGGAGCCACCACGACYGCATGAGCACATCCGTGAAATTCAGGCACTGTCTATAAGAGGACTTGGGATTTATTTAACCTGTATGAAATGCAGTTGGTGATTGTCAGCACAGAAAGAAACAACCCTAGAACCACTGACTATCTTTTGTTGCTCGTTAGAGCCCTGTCAGCACTTGATTCTTTAGCTCAAGCTCACAGGAATTAACGTTATTGTAAAAAAATAGGAAATTCAATGCAAGAGGGTGATTACACTGGTTGCATCTGTCTAAACAGCTGTGCTGCTTTAAGTATTATAAATGCAATGCTGTAATTATTACTTTAATTACTACTGTTAACATAAAATACAACACATTTTATGAATAATTTTGCATTTTTGGGGGAGTTACAAAGCCAAATGTTTGCTTTAAGAAAATCTTAATTTGTAAAAATGTATTTTTCTGATTTATACCACTTWGATTTCAGCATATTTCCAAGGCAAGAATAACTTCACTTTAACAGTAACCGGCATTTCTTTAAACATTAACCCAATTTTCACCCTCTCCTTGCCACTGAACTTTGTGTTTTGCATTTCATGTACTTAGTTTACTTAATGTTTGACATCTGATACAGGTCAGAAAGGATAAATAAGGCTAAAGGTATAAMAGAAATATCCATTAACTTACCACTTAATGCTGTAGACCTAATGATGCTATAAAACACTATTCATTTAACTGCTTGTGAAGGACATAACCAACATGGTGAATATTGCCTCTTTGTAGCTTTTGTGGAACTCATGGTTGCTCTATTTATTATTATCACAGGTGCCATCAGGGATAAACAGGATAAGGAAATGAATATTTAAAAAGACTCTGAATGTTTAAAATTCAGCATATCACTTTCCTCACGTTTTTATCTACCCTCTTTCCAACACTGTATTTTCYCAAGGAACTTATTACTGACAGACAATCCTATATATCCCTTTAAATTGCTATATTTTACTAGAATTCCAAATGAAATGTTTATATAAAAATCAACAGGGTAATTTCGGAGATGGTGTAGTTATCTAAACACAGATTTATCACTTAACTGTCTTTATGGGCTTGCTTCTTACTGTGTGCATGATTTGGCATAGGCATGTTTATACAAGTATCTATATCTATGCAATGGGACTGAGAAAGAGGATTATTTTAAAGTGTGCAAAGTTCTATTTTCATGTGTAATTAAAAAGTATACATTACTTTTTTTTTTTTTTTCCTGTGTTACTGTTTAAAAATCAATGATTCTGGAGACTGGGCATGAAAGAAGAAAGTTCCATGGGGAAGAGCAATTCCTCTTTTATCACAGAATCACAGAATGTTCAAGGTTGGAAGGGATCTCTAGAAATCATCTAGTCCAACCCCCCTGCTCCAGCAGGGACACCCAGAGCMCGGGGCACAGGGCGGCATCCAGGTGGGTTTGGAGACGTCCAGAGAAGGAGACTCCACAACCTCCCTGGCAGCCTGTTCCAGTGCTCCATAACCCTCACACTGAAGAAGTTCCTCCTCACAACAGAGGAGTCTGTTTATCAACAGACAGAACTTGATTGTGCACAGGGGGCATTGCAGAGTTTATACAGACTCTACCCTTTGACTGAGAGGCAAGTTCAGCTGGGCACCGCAAGCCGAGCGGCAGAACAAAGCCTAAAAAGAAAGGGCAAGATACCTGCCATGTAATTGAGGGACCACCAGCCGCCATAGGCGTAGAGCCCCTGGAAGAAGGCTTCAGCGACCTGCGACGCGTCGGGGACCTCCGAGCCAAAGGCATCCTCGAATCTCGCCAGGTGCTCCCGACGGCCCCCCAGGAGCAGGACGAGGCCGCCCACGGCGATGACCGACAGCGCCACCATCTTCAGCACCGTGAAGACGCTCTGCGCCCATGCCGCCATCTTGACGCTGCGCCCGTTCAGGATGCCCAGGGTCCAGAGAGCCGCCAGGGCCAGGCATTTCTTGAGCACTTCAGGTGCCGGGCACCTGCCATAGAAGGGCTGCGTGGCGTATTCGGCGAAGAGCAAGGCTCGAGCGGCGTTCGACACCGGCTTCGTGAGCATCGACGTCCAGATGAACAGGAAGGCRGGCAGGGCGCCAAGGCCTCTCTTGATGTGACTGTATTCGCCTCCGGAGAGGGGCAGCGCGGTGCCCAGCTCGGCATAGCACAGGGAGCCCATGAGGGACACGAGCCCCGACGCAGTCCAGATGACGAGGGCCACGCCGACGTTCARCAGCGAGTGCTTCAGCACGCCCGTGGGAGACACAAAGATCCCTGCCCCTACTATTGTTCCTATAATAAAACTGACCCCCTCAAAATAACCTATATTTCTTTTGAGTTGAATCTGTGCCTTGTCTTTCCTTTTCACATCTTTCCCCATTTTTAACAGCAGTTTAGATGACTTCAGAGCCTGGACGACGCGTATTTGCCATTCACTTTGTTGTTACAAGATGGCCATGGCCCTGCCTACTAGTGAAACGCTACGGAAAGCCTGGCTTAATCATTCAGAAAACTTTGGGTTTTGATGTCTTGTGTGTGAAGATGATTAACCAGTTACTTCCAGGAATGTTGGCAACTCACATAAAGGTTGATTTAATACTTACTTCACAAACTTTTAAGGTCTGGGGATTTTCTAAAAGAAACTGGCATAACAGTAATATACAGTAAATGCTTTTCTTTTTGCTGTTGATTTTGACCACATGATCTCAAAATATTTTTGTCCCCAGAAGCAGTTCTGTGAGGTGGGTGTATGCTACCTCTCCATTAGACCTAGGGAAAGGAGTAGGGGGTGGCAAGCATCAAGAAAATCAGTCCTCCTTCTGGGGGAGGGCTCCTTTCTCTTGGGAAAGAGGCTTTAGTTGAATAGTCAAGTGCTATTTTCCCACCGTCAATACATCAAAAGGGCAGCGATCTCTAGGGAACCACAATATATATTGCTGAATCCTGACTAGTCAGACTAGTCTCRACTGAAGCTTGCACAGGGTCCTGCACCTGGGGAGGAATAACCCCAGGCATCAGTACAGATTAGGGGTTGACCTGCTGGAGAGCAGCTCTGCAGAGGGGGACCTGGGAGTCYTGCTTGACACCAAGTTAACCATGAGTCAGCAGTGCCCTTGTGGCCAAGAAGGCCAATGGGATCCTGGTCTGCATCAGGAGGATGTTGCCAGCAGGTGGAAGGAGGGGGTCGTGCCCCTCTCCTCAGCTCTGGTGAGGCCACATCTGGAGCACTGGGTGCAGTTCTGGGCTCCCCAGYATAAGAGGGATGTGGARCTTCTRGAGAGGGTCCAGTGAAGGGCAACCAAGATGATTAAGGGACTGGAACATCTCTCGTATGAGGAGAGACTGRGTGAGTTAGGCCTGTTTAGCCTGAAGATGATCCTGAGACAGGATCTGATCTTGAATTTTACTCTCCTCTGAATTTGAGTCTCCTTCTCTGGAGGTCTTCAAAACCTGCCTGGATGCCACCCTGCGCCACGTGCYCTGGGTGTCCCTGCTTGAGCAGGGGGGGGTTGGACTAGATGATCTCTAGAGGTCCCTTCCAACTGCAACCATTCTGTGATTCTGTGGAAACAGGCAGAAGAATTGAACTGTGAGAGCTGAGATCAGGATCCTTTGCCCCCTGTGACTAGTGATGACTTATACTGACTCCCCCATACATGCATGTTGAGCATACATGTCGTTCAAATCAGACTGGGCACCTAGGAAAAGGTGCTGGGACTGAGGAAAAAAAGAAAGAAAAGGAACAATTTACATGAACAAACACAGTATTGAATGTCATTTTAGATCATTTTAGGTGTTCTTGGATCTAAAGACATCTTTGTATCTTGACAAATATGACACAAAATGTACAGTGTAGTCCTCCACTTCTGGAGTAGGAGGTTGAGGCTTGGATGGGCATCTAAAACATTCGTCACTTGTTTTAGGTAACAAAATGCCATCCTATTTACCAGCCCTGAAAATCTGGTTACAGCGCGTGTCCATCACCACACAGCGCTGTGGCGCAGCGAGTGACAGAGCCCGCAGCTCCAGAAGGGCACCGCACCTAACACCTCCTCCTTCTGCAAACCACCTTCTGCCACTCAACGCATACCTAAAAATATCAACAAATCGATCTGGGCAGCTGTTATCGCTGTTTTGCTACCGGCAGGGAAAGCGAGCGCASGGCACAGCCAACTGCTCAGCCCCACACGCAGGGGGCAGCGCCACCATGCGCGACCCGCGGGCGCCTTCGCGTCGCGGCAGCAGCCCCCTGCTGCCCGCGCTCCAGCTGTGCTGCACAGTGACACGCACCGGTGACACGCACCGCTGACACGGGTGACACGCACCGCTGACACGCACCGCTGACACGGGTGACGCACACCCACCGGTGTCACCGCAGCAGGGCGCTGCGCACACCCGCGGCAGCCCCGCGCATGCGCCATGCTCCCCCCGCCCCCTCCCGCGCATGCGCCCACCGTTCCCGGCCGTTGTCGGCGAGGGAAGTTTGAAGCGGCGGCGCCATGTCGGGATCCGGGCTTGGGGCTGCTCGCGGCGAGCTCAGCCTCATGGACAGGGGTGTGCGGAGGTGCGGAGCAGGGGAGCTGCGGCCGGGGCGCGCGCGGGGCTGCGGTTGCTCGGCGCGGGTAACGGCCGCCTCTCGTCCCCGCAGCTTGCTGGAGCTCTCGCTGAGCCCGGGCCTGCGCGCGCTCAACCTGCACGGAAACCGCGTCGCCCGCATCGAGGGGCTCGCGCACCTGCGGGGCCTGCAGCACCTGGACCTCTCCTCCAACCGCATCCGCCGCATGGAGGGGCTCGGCGCCTTGCGCGGCCTGCGCACCCTCAACCTCTCCTGCAACCTCCTCGACAGCGTGCAGGGTCGGCAGCCTCTGCTTCCCTCCTCCTGACAGCCTAGGGGACTTGCCAGGACTTGCCGATTTGCTTTGGGAAAGTAGCTCRTAATTAAGGCTATACTAAGCTGATCTTAATTACCAGCCATGTTATCTTCTGAATTTTGAGCTGAGTATGTAGGCTCTGTATCCTTTATCACATCAGGATACCTTACTTGAGAAGGGGAAGCTCTGATGTCCTTTTTATTACTGTTATAGTTTGTAGTCATATGTTGTTATTACAGCTTTAAGAGCCTTATTTTGCACGTTTTGCTTTGATGAAAGCAGTGCACACTTCTGAAGGAAATCTTACTCTGTTTCTTTTTTCCCTTGCTTTGTTTAGGACTAGAAAAACTGCTTAATTTATCTGTACTGAACTTGTCGTATAACCGCATACACGATCTCTCTGGTAAGTGGCCCTGGCATGTTCAGTGCAGCAAGACAGGTCTGCCTCACTTTAATTTCAAAACAATTCCCTAGATGCATTTTTAAGAGTTTCCAAGAGCTCAGCACTACTGACAGTGCTGCTAAAGGTCGCAGCTGTTGTGAGTCTCGGGTGTCTTGTGGTATGGGTTGCTCTGGCCAGCCTGAACTTCATCTCTGTAAACCTGACCATGTAGCTGCCTGTCTGGAGCTGCTCAGATTTACCTGCATGGCTAATAGGGATGAAAACAGATCCAGCATCCCTAGCAGATGTTGCATGCAGAACATGAGCTCAGGCAGCTGCATCTGTTACAAGGTCATAGGCTAAGGCTCCACTTCAGATCATGTGAAAAAAAAGTTCATTTTTTATACAAGACAGCAACGGTATTGTCTGTTCTCTAGTACAGCTACATAGCTTTTAAATAAAGCAGAACTATTGTGTTCTGTGGTAAGGGCCTAAAAAGAGCCAGCCCAGTTAATTTTTCACAAAATTAACTATTAAGTGAAACCTTTTTCAGTTTCCTTATAACCCTTTCAGATTATAAGGAGTATTGATCTCATTATTTATTCATTTATAGAGAAGAAATGCAACATTTAGTTTTCTAGAAACTTAATCTAAACTTTTAAAGCTTAAGTTTTTGGAACTCTCTGGGATTATTTTCATTGGATTTAGTTCTCTTTCAGGTTTGTAATCCTAAAACATGTATGTGCATTGTCCATAGAAAATGGTTTAAAAAGGATTAAAAATATTAATTAAAAACATTCTGTTTTTCTCATACGCAAATTAAAGGACTAAGGTTTTTCTTTTTCCTCATGTTTACACTTTATGATAATCTGAATCTGGATGCTGAATAATTATAGCTATTTGGTGAACAAATATGTTGTTTGAATTTCTTCTTTTTTTTTTTTTTGGTTTTTTTTTTCCAACTATAAGTACAAACTGAACAAAATGCGTACTGAAGGCAAAGTTTTTTTACTTCCAGATTTTTTTTTCTTTTTGCTGTGCAGATCTGAAACTTAGAGATCTTATTGCTAGTCCCTGTTSGTGCTATGCTAGTATTCTGTGCACAGAATTTTGGCAAATCTTATARTTCCAAAAGATTAATATTTCCTTTATTTACAACAAAAAGAAAGCTTTTTTACAATGTAACTGTGCTTTTCTGAACTATTTTTCTAAATGACCAACTTGTTTTAAGCTGCAAAATCCACAGCTTGGGTTGGTAAAACAAAATAGAAAATAAAGTTTGCATCAGCTAAGTTAATGAACTAAGTTACAACAACAAATTCACAAAGCAAAATATGTTCAATATCTTGAGCTTCTTAACAGCTGGAAACATACCTGTTGTTAATAGGTAATTCCATCTAGCCAGGAATGTGGAGAAATAATTCTTGCATCATTTCAAGTTAACATTTGTTTTTACTGACAATTTTTCAATAAAATACTATGTGATCATRGATTACTGAGCTTGGACCTGAACGGAAATCATCATTTTGTATGTCTTGTGTATTTTGTGTAAATGTTTTTTATCAAATTTTCAGGGCTTCARTGCCTTCATGGAACCAGCAGTAAGATGAGTCGTATTGAACTGCAYGGTAACTGCATAAATGATATTAATCATTTACTTCAGTGCACAAAGGGGCTGTGCTCTTTGACCAATCTCACATTAGAGAAAAATGGAAAAACCAACCCAGTTTGCCACACAGCAGGTATGGATCTTGTTTTTAGGTAGTCACTTCATGCTCTGCAGGTTGGCATTTTTCGTTAAACTGTARGCCAGGTTCTGAAGCTTGTAAGCCAAGTTCTCAAGCTGGTAAATAAATTCAKAAATTGACCAGCCAGCAGAAATCTAATTTCTGTCAAAATTAATCATTCCACATACACATTTTTTTTTTTTTTTTACTTTTCCACCAAGAATGTTTTCAGAAGTGTAAGTCTAGTTGTATGCTTTGATCGGGTTCAAACCTTCTTAGATTATTTTAGGTTAAGGCAAGAGTTGTAAAGAGAATTATAGGAACAGAAAGTAATGCAGAATTAGGAAGAAGAGAGGGTGAATATTGGAGTGGGACAGCCAAAAATGTAAAGAACCACTGGGAATAGATATAAAAGAGAAAGGGAAGACATGGGTGGTAGCTGTTTTTTCGCTAGAGATCTCCCAAGAGAATTCTGTGTTAAGCATTAGCCCTTCTTGCTTTACCACAGCTTCCATGGGCAGTGATAACCTGTAACATGCTCTGTGGTATGACAATGRTGTTTATCATGAAAATAGGCATGGATTTTGCTAGGCAGCTTGGAGAGTTCAAGGAATGCCTGTGGATGCATCAATTTCACATGTTTAGTTTAGAGCTTCTCTATGTGTTTTTTTGGGGGGAAGGGGGGGCAGAAAGAGGCATGAGCCAAATAAAATCAATACCTTAAATTCAAAGAAACTATATTACTGCATTTTCTCACCTTACTTCCTTGAGTTGGTTTTGCTGTGAAAATTTTCAGTCTGACTAAAACTGTCTTTTCACAAAGAAAATTTTTGAGAGTGTAAAAATTCTCTCTCTTTTTTTTTTGGGGGGGGGGCACTGTACTGATACTGTGGTGGTAGGGAAATCCCAGTGTAGACCAGGAACATGGAGGTAGCTTCCCAGATCATCTSCTCAGTAATGTTTCCTGTTAATAGGCTTTATGGGTGGGGAAATGGAAACATCTAGATAACCCACTACTCCTTTTCTTCCGAAATTATGTATTGCATTTTTAATAGATGATGGGGGACCTAGACTACACCAGGAAACTTTTTTCACATATTTATTTCAGTTTAATTGTGTTTTTTTTTCTTTTTTTTTTTTTCTCTCCTTAAGGTTATAGAGAAATTGTTTTTCAGAATTTGCCCCAACTAAAAGTTCTAGATGGAAGAAATGCTTTTGGTGAACCAGTAGAAGACAAGGCAGAAGAAAACTTGCAGTGTTTAGATGATATTTTGGACTACTTGGTTTCATCTGCAACCCCCCAATATGAAGATAAGGTGCTATAGTTTGCCTGTGCTAATCTTAAAATAGATGCAGCAGATTTTTATATTGCATACAAGTCATTAATGTTGCAGGGGCTGTCTCTCCTTTTAATAGAACTGTGCTACATTCCCGGTGGTGACACCTCATATTGACCAGGCATTAGCCTATTTTCGTCAACGAACAAAAATGTCCCTGCAAAGCTCTGCCAGCTCCTCTACGGAGGCCATCTCCTCTTCAGAACCAGAAAAGGCCAAACTGGATAAAATACAGAGTGAGATGAGGATTAAAAAAATAGAAGATCAGATTTCTCAGATACTGCAAAAGGTGATATTTTTTTCTTTCTCTCTAACTGTACAGAAATTTTTGTTTTTAAAATGAGGTGTGTCTCTATGATGCAGAAATTCACCATGAGTGACTTGAATATTTTCCTTGGTAGGAATGTGCTGACTTGGTGCTGTGTACTGAAAAACTTAGTAAGATAGAAGCAAGAATTTATAGCTCAAGATTGTRTTTTGAATCATGAAAACTTCTGTACTATATTAAAAAAAAATATACAGGACTAGAAGAACTACCTGATGACATAATATTGGATAGAAAATTGCTTTCTGGGTTTGTTCTGAAGCCATTAATGTATGTAATTAAACCAAAGTAAAATATGCAATGCAATCAAATGACTGGATTCTAAAGCTTGTGAAAATTAACTTTGCCAAATAATAGGTCAAACTGGTGTTAAAGTACACAGGAAAGCATTCATAACAACTGTATTTTCATAAGCGTTTACCTTGTGCCTAGCATATTTGCAAAGATTTTTTTTCCGATGCTGTTTTATCTGTTTTATATTTCATACTAAGCATATTAATGTACTTCTTTGCCCATGGATTTTATTAAACTTCAGGTATTTTGTAAAAAAGCAACTACTTATTCTCAAATATGCTGTTCTGTTGGTCTTATATTCTTTTTAAAAATTTTAAAACTAAATGTTTTAGAAGGGAGAGAATAGGTAGTTTGGAAGCAATTTTTTACTTAGCTAACAAAATTAAGTCATTTGAAACATAACACCTTAATATGTGTTAGAGATTAGTCGATTAGAGATTTTAAAGTATGTAGATCTGTTCTTAGGTATCTGATGCATCAAAGAAGGAAGCTCCTTCACATGTTCTCAAAGCTAAGAGAGACACAGATCCAACTTCTGAGAGTGACCATGAGAGCGGGAAAGAAAATGACAGAAAAGCTGTGAAAAGAAACAAGATCCCACCCTGCCGTAGAACTGCCTCATCTGCCAAGAGTCCTTCCAGTCATTCTAAGAGCAAAGTAACTGGCAGGTATTCCTAGGTTTGCCATACAAAGTGAAAATTGAGCTGAATATTTTCAGGGTAAATATAATGTAATTTAAAATGTTGTTGTACTGAAAGTGATAGGTTAATTTGTTTCTGTTAGTAATGCTCTACAAGTGGAGTTACTGAAGCTTCATAATGAATCCGATGTTTAGGATGACAGTTGCATTGAACTCTGCCCTCAAAAAAAAAAAATCAGCAACTGCTGATATTTAATTTATTAAAGTAATTAACGATTTATTTCATATATGGGAATATCTTCCTAATTTGCCACCCTGCCTCGCATAATCTTCTATACCTTTGTTCCCTTACTTTTTCATTTCTCTTGTTTCTGAAATAGTACTGTGTCTTTTAATGGTATTCGTATATAAACACTAGCAAACTAAGCTTATTTGAAACTTTTTAAAATTCATTCTTCACTCAATCATTTCCCCATATGAGAAWTTTCTCTTTAGTTTAAAAAGAAAACGAATTGTAGATTGGGAAAATGATGTTCCAAAATAAACACTTTTAGAATTGTAGCAGCTCATAGTTTTATCCTTGTTCWCATTTATGGAGGCAGAATTCTCTTTATGTAAAAAAAAGTATATATTAGYGACTGCTTAGTACAAATTTAAATATATATTTGTGTGTATATATATGCATGTACAAAGTCAGATTGCTGACCCAAGGATACAGCTCTTTATTTTGTGATAAAACAGAGGTTGCTGTAATAATTTATAGTTGATTATATAGTAAATATGAGAAGTATTATTTTAGTCAGCCCCTGCGCCTAGTTGTTTCAGAACTGTCTGATGATGTTTTCAGAGAGCGTCTACTGGTACTCCATATTCTTACAGTTTTGAGTTGAAGATTTGAGTTTGGTTTTTGTCCTGGCCAGTTTACCCATTATTTTGCATGTATATACAATTCAGGTCCTATGTAGAACTTTGAAAGTTTTGTTCTGTAGAAATATCTGAATCTCTTGTAGCTTTGATGGTAGCGTAGAAGATGATACTTCAATTCTGCATGTATACATGTGCATATATATATATAGTTTTGGKTTTTTTGTTGGTTTTTCGATGATACAGAGAAGAGAAAAGTTTATCCAAGTGTCCACGCTCCAATCAGAGAGACTCTCATGTCAGTTCATCAGATACTCCAGACCTTGAAGTAATGGGAAGAAGAGCTGAATTATTAATAGGAAAGCAGAACCGTACAGAAAAAATAGAAGAAACTAATTCAGATGCCCCGGAGGAATCCACATACCGAGTATGTTTTACATCATTTCAAGTTAAATTGCAGCGTGTTTCTTCGTTGAAGTCAAGCATATGTCTTGGTGAAACTCTTAACATTAGAGGTGACAAAAGAAATTGCATGTAGGAGACAGCATCAAAAAAATGAAATTCTTAACTTCTCTTCCTGCTGATAGTGCACCATATTAACTTTCAAGGGGAATTTTCCTTTATTTAGAGCCGTGTCTGTCTTTGGTTTCTTCCAGAAAAAAGAACAAGAAATCCTGTTCTGCAATTGTGAATGTTGTTTGTCRGTTTTGATACAGTAGAATGTTTCCTAGTAAGCTGATGTTTAATATGTTCTTGCTTAGGCACTGATTCAGGAACTGGATCAGGAGAAAGAAAGAAGGTGGAGAGCAGAACAAGCTGAGAAGAAATTACTAGAGCATGTCAAAGAACTAGAAAAACATGCGAAAGAAGAAAAGAATATTCAGAGTATGGCGGTATACACTACAGATAGGTATGGAAGCAAAGTGCTGTAGTGGTTGGTGTTGTTTTTAGCTGAGTCACAGTGTTATATGGCTAAAGAAGTGAGAACAGCTTTAAAAATGCTTGGAAAATGATCCATCAATAAGTATTGCTGGAAATTCTTCCAGTGCTACTTTATGAAARTGTTCCTGCTACCATGGTGTAAAGCAACCGCAGTGCAAAACCTGATGGGTTGTCACTGTTAATTCGATAAGAGGTGGCAGAACAAGACATTCTGACTTCGCTTACTCCCCAGTTCTTCTTCTCCATGCCTAGTTATCAGTACCCTGCTTACCTCTAATTCTAGGCTTCTACTTTCCCAGCAATCCTTATTGTAATGGTACAATTTCAACTCATGCCCTATTTATGGTACGTTACCTCATTTTGTAATTCCAGCTTTGTATTTCCAAGCTCCTTTTCTGTCTGTACATGGAGTTCTCTATCCGGTGTGGTCCAGTTGAACCAAGATGTCAGCCAGTAGGGTGTATGTTGTCCCAGTCTGATCTAGCAGCTCCTTGGATAGACTGTCCTCCTAATCCTTATCAGTTCTAGCTAACATTCTTCTCTCCTTCAAAAGCTGTCCCTTCCAGCGAAGTATTGTGTGTTGTCAGCAATGCTTGGAGAGAGCTGCTCTGCTCCTCCTCTTCGTGATTGTGCTGTGTGTATGAAAGGAACATTTTCTCTCTTGTAAGGAAGAAACAAGCCAAATATTTTCCTAGTTACCATCCATGACTGACTGACTATAATGTTTTCCTTTTTTTGCCTTGGGTTTAGGTTCATTTAGGTTCATTAGGTTCATTCTTTTGTTATCATCTTATATTAAGCATCTATTCTTATGGAATTCGAATATCCTTAAAGATCCCAACAATGTTGTATAAATTATCTACATTTTCTAAAATAAATATATCAAAAAATACAATTTGTTATTATTAAGTTCTAATGTAAACAAAYGACCTTTCCAGTATGACTTTATAGTTCTATATATATAGTCTATATAGTCTATGTAAGACCACATCCATCTGGTTGTCTCCATCTTACTTTCTTTTCAAGATATATATGTATATATATTTTCAAAATAGTCAGGCTACGTCTTTCCGTGATATTTTATGTATTACTAAGCAGTCCTGCATTGTGATCCCGCACGTGGTAAAACAGCAAAGAGCAAAGTGCAACACTTTAAAGGTGTTTTTTTTCCTCAGTGGCCCTGACTAAGTACAACATAAGTATTAAGTTTATAACAACATTGTTGCATTAATTTTCAGGTTAAAGGAATTGCTACTAAAAGAGAGAGAGGTTAAAACAAGATTGCAAGCAGATATCCAGCAATTGAAAGGTGAAGCTGAAAGACTTACTAATGAGTTAAATCAGGCAAAAAATAAAGAAGCAGAATATCAGAAGGCCATACAAGCTTTAGAAGAAACACTATCCAAGATGGAGACACAACGGCTGCAGCAACGAACAGCAGAGGTAACATTTTTCAAGGGTAAATAACATGACATTGACAGGAGGGCTACTACCTTACTAGACAGTAAAACACACTAGCCTTGTGTCCCAGTTCTTCACAGTAAAAGCTGATTTTGCTACACAGTACTAGTTAATAACAAACTTCCATTTTAATTACTAAGTAATGTATTAACCTTTAAAATGGTAATACATCATATGTGACATTGTCTTTAAGATAAAGACATTAAATCCTAGGTGCTGAGCCCTCAGAACTAGAGCTTTAGAAGATTTTCTAAAATTATATAGTACTGAAAAGAGATTTCTAAAAATGTTTAACTAGATAAATAGATTGTAACTGCACTAGTAAAGTGGAAACCTGATGGTTCATATGTTTTAGATCTGCTCTTGCAGTACACATGGAAAGATAGCATCAGGAGATGAATGTGGCCTGAAACTGTAGCCATCAATGATGAGTGGTAGTCACTCCTTAAATAGTTGCTGTCAATTTAAGTCAACATGACCAGATTACCGCTTCAGAGGATGCAAGACACTTATGTCAATGTTTGTTCATTTTATGTTCCTCTATTTAAGAGACAAGTGCTTCATTTCATCTCCAAAACAATAGGGGCGTGCCTAAATCTTACTCAAGAAGAGACTTAACATGTAGAATACGAGGATTCGAAAATAAATATAAAAGCCTCACTACAAAATTTATAAAACAGATGAGAGGGAACAGAAAATATAATTCTGTAAGAAAATAGATTTTTTTTGTTGTTTTTCTTCCAAGAGTTCAAATGCAAATTAGGCAGACTTTGTTGCATTCCAGCTCTGCCTTTGGATAACTAACACTTGAGTAGTCTCAAGTGGTTCATGAATCAGCAATTCCTTGCAGCTCCTGTACCCTGGAAAGCCAAGGGGTAGGAACTGTGTAAACACAGAGCGTGAAGGGGACGATTTGCCAAATGCTTTGCTTTGGAGGACAGATTGACAAGAAAATTGATTAATACTCTCTGCTTAAGCATGCAGAGGGGGAGGTGGATTTTTCAAGTAATCATTAGGAGGAGCAGAAACACCTCTTAGCACCTCTGTTTTTTCTGTCTCATGTTCTAACTTGCACCTTCTAAAATGTCTTGATTGTGAATTACCATTTCATGAGTAAATAAAATCTTTCCTATAATTTTTCCATATGATCCTTCTTTTCTACTTCTCAGATCCAAAAAGATACTTTGCATGTAAAAAGTCTCATTATAACAAGGAATTCTTCGTGATGGTTGACATCAAATGGAAAAGCAGAGTCTGCCATCTTGTGTTCATGCTGTCATTCTGTTTTTATAAGATTAGTAGAAGGCAACGCTGTTCAGCAATGTTAAAATGTAAAACTCAGTAAGATGCAGACTTTAATGACACCCATCATAGTGGAGTGTGAATGCATATATATATATCTTATATGTGTGTGTATATATATATATATATATATATATATAGTGTTGAATACATCTAAAAGTATTTTCCTTGTTTCCTTGAAACTAATTACAAGATTTGCAGTACAGGAGTTTTAAGCTGGAGGAAATCATTCTGCCAATATATGTGTCCCACTTCTAAGTCTAAGAAGACTTCTAAATTCTTCAAATTAAGTAAACATTCCTGGTTCTTTAGAGAAATCTCTTTGGTTTTGGTGGTTTTGGTGTTTTTTCTTTGTTTTGTGGTAAGTTAAGCTATCTGTAAACATGTATACATAATTTCTGTAAATGTTACAAAATGTGTATCAATAAAAAAGTAAAGYTTTGCTTGGGATAGATAATGCTAGAAAATTCCATAAAATTTTGGGAAACGATTGATGGCTGTGCAGCATGCTATAAACATAATAGCTSAGACAGATGTGCATAAAACATTAATGAAGCAACTGATCCTTTGTGTTCTCATATAAGACATGTCAAATAGATGACAATTTTAAGAATCTTGTTCTTATTTTTATGAATTCTCTATAGATGAAGCAGGTTCAAGAGGCAGAACTTAGAGCATCAGCAAATGAAAGAGAAGTCCAGTTGCTCAGGGTATCCCTTCGACAACAGAAGGAGAAGGTAAAACAACTACATGAACTTCTCATAGTAAGAGAACAGGAACAGAGGTATGGAGTTTTCCATTTTGTTTTCACAACAAGCTAGAGGAGATATTAAAGGACATAGACATTGTGGACATTGTGTTCTAGTCTTTTTTTTTTTTTTTTCCCCTAAATTAGTTTATTATTAAAAAGTAAAAATACACAATCAAATATGTGTAAGAACTAGATAGGGCAGTGATGTGTAGTATCATTGTGTGTGTAGCTTAATAATAAAATAAGAATACTTGCTCAACTTTCCAAGAATAAATGTGTACAAATGCCCAAACAACTTCAGGTATAAATGGGGAGGATCTACTAATTGCATCATAAATCCCCGGAAGGTTTAACGTGAGGACAGCAGATTTCTTTTGTTCTTTCTTAAATACTGAACAGAAATAGTAAATAGAAGAGTGTTAAGTTACAGGGTGATTTTTTGCTTTATCATGGCCCTCTAGGGGTGCTTCCAGGCAGGAGGGAGGCAGGTACCCCGGGGGTCTTTGGAGCGATGATTTTTGGTTGAGGCTGATTTCCCAAGTCCCTGTATAGCTTCCAGATCCTTATGCTTCCTTATTAGTTTCTAACAGCAAAGAGCAATTGAATAATTTCTATTAAAATTTAAACTTAAAATCAGGGTTGTGASTATTTTGATAGTAATCAACCTATCTTTCCCCCTCACAGGGTCAGTGTCATGGAGGACAGAAATGTGTCAGTGAAACTAAACATTGTAACTCCCTTCACCATTCAATTCATTTTTCTGTTTTTAGGGAGTACTAAGAAAACCAAGTAACGTAGCACTGTTGGATGTTGCTATGTCAGTCTTACATATGTGTTTGGTAACTCTAGGAAAGAACTTGAAACTCGAGTTGCTTTACATGGACCTGAATTCCAGAATGTCTTGTCAAAAGAAATGGCTAAAGAAGAACAGAGACATGAGGAGCGTGTTAAAGAATTGCAGGAGAAGATTAATGGGTCAAACCAGAAGTATATGGAGTTGGAAGATGAATTTCGTTTGGCTTTAACTATTGAAGCAAAAAGGTTTAAGGAGGTAAGACTGAAAGAGTGTTCAATTTTGGACTGGGTACCATTGAGGACTTCTTAAATTTGAGTGTCCTTTTCTGATTTTGAGGTCTTGGTCCTAAGGATTTATCTGAAAATCCTTTTAAAATAGGTTTAAAATAACTTTTTAAAATAACTTTTGGCACCTATGCTTTAAGCTTTGGTAGGACAGTATTCGAAAACGCTGCATTTTTGTCTATAAGTAAAAGTTAAAATGACATTAGGGAAACTCCTTTGGGATGATAGTTTTTTAGAATATAGTTTTAGAATATATTGATCTCCTAATAGAATATTTTCTGATTAAAAACACTCTTTTTGGACGGGAAGGCTCTGGCAACATGTTTATTAGTGTGTTTAATAACAAAGCTCCCTTTTGTTTTAGTCTTCAAAATTCCTCAGGAATTTTTTTTTGCTGAAGTCCTTAAATAACATTCTTATGTCGGTAGTATTGATATGATTTCATACGGAAATTAAAATGCACAGATTATAAAATGCTTCATCTTTAATTTAAAATAATTTKTCCCATTTTAAATTAGCTGGATAAATTGGAGAATAGGAGAAAGACTTTTTAACCATACAATTATTTAAAATTTTGTACAAATTTGCAACTGAGTAGAACCGTCTTAGTGAGATGAAATATCATCAAAGAACTGGTATAAAACTAGCTTTCTATGTTTATTAATTTTGCAAACTCCTGATCTATTTATATTTTTTTCTTTATTTGAAATTCCAAAATTATTTTTGTGTGTGCACGTGCATGAGTGGTACTTTTTTTTTTTTTTCTAGTGGTGATGATGGTGAAGTGAATATTTTTCAAGGGTGGTTTTTACTTGAAATCTTTAGGTTAAAGATGCATTTGAAAGTGTTGCTGCTGAGCTAGCTGAACATAAACAGGCCCTCTTTCTGTCTGAACAAAAGGAGAAGGAGATGGCAAGTCTGATCCAAGACCTGACAAGTATAGTGAAAGAACAGAAAGCAAAGATTACAGAGTTATTAAAATCAAAGGAAGAAGCCACAGCAAATCTCAAGGTACTTGTTTCCAAGCATAGGAATGTTTCCATGTACATAGGACTTTTCGTAACTTTTTGTGTATAAAAGAAGTCCACACAAGGTAGGTTAACTAAAATAAATGTTTCCTGTCACCCTAAGATCCAATACTCAGTATCCACATCAWGCTTTAATTGTACATCCTACCATTTCTCACAAACAGTGAGCTCCCAATACAGAAAAATTTAAACAGACGTTCACATCCTCACAAGTTTTCTTCCTGCTCAGATTTTCTATCTAATCAAGGGATYGCTCCGAGCTGAGATTTGCAAACTTGTGTTGGTATCTCTGAACTTTTGCATGCTCAGAAAAATGGAATACGTTCCTGCAGATAAAGAATTTAAGAGGTAATTCTAAACAGAGTAAAAGCTGAATTGCACTAATATTTGGAGGTAGTGCTGGCAACATAATGCCTCAGAATTAAATGAAATTAGCAATACCAGAGCCATTATTCAACAATTATGTATAATTTAGTGTTAAAGCAACTGCACAAACAGTGTTTATCTTGTATTACTGTTGTTTAGTACTGTAATATCCACAGGTAGAATAATCCAGATTCCTCAGAATATGTAAGTGTTAACAACTTATAACAGTCCATGTGTCACAGTCATTATCTCTGCAGTGCAACCCCAGCAATCTCTGGTCTCTGTGCAGCAGCTCATGTTTTTGTTGAGCAAACAGTGCTGATAGATGCAGTAGGATTCAGCTAGTGAGTGGTGTTGCTTTAAAAAATTATCCTGAAAAAGCACAAAAAGTACCAAAAAAAAAGTTTTCAAGCAGCATAATCTATAAAACACTAAAAATAGCCTGTGTGATTTATGATAATGCTTTCTCACGGGAAGTAGAAGCTCAGCACAACCTCTGTGACCTCTGTGAGGCTTTCTATTACTTATATTTTAGTATTTTATCTTGACTTTTTCTTCATTCTTGTGGGTTTATCCTTCTAAAGCTTTATGGTTTTTTTTTTTTTTTTTTTTTTTTGTGAAGGCATCAGAAATTAAGTTGACTATTTAGAAATCAGCTTTATAAATATAATTTCCTGGAATTAATTATGTCTATTTGAGATACAACATTTGCATTTGCATCCAGCTGCTTGCTTTTTTCCAGAATTTTTATAAGCAAGGTACTCCTCAGTTAGCATTAATCCAGTGCATGCCAGTGTTGCTTTCCTAGCAAGTTAGGATCGATGAAATTCTCATTGTCTTTTTTTTTTTTTTTTAATGTATCTTACTGTCTTTTCGTGCAGTGTCGAACTGGAGAACTTGAAACTGTGGCTGAGGAGGACAAGCAGAAGGCTGTTCAAATTGAACTCCTCAAGAAGGAAAATGCAAAACTTRCTTCTCAGCTGACAGCCCAGGAATCTCTAATCGATGGATTAAAAATGGAAAGAAAAATATGGGGACAGGAGCTGGCACAACAGGGTAAAATATAAAATTTTGTGTTGGGGTAAAAAATACTGGTGTTCATTGTCATCCTTTTTCCAGTGAGCATTCCAGGACAGATATAATGATCACAGGGTCCCTCTGTGCTTTGTTGATGTTGTCCAGTTGTATTTCTGTGAGTCATCCTTATATTTACCATAGTGCCCAGGCCAACTCTAACAGCACTTGGGGAGTTAGCCCTGTGCAGAGGACAAAATAAAAATCCTGTTGCTTTAAACTGATAATCTTAAGGAATGCTGAAAATATAAGAAGTCGAGCCTGGGTATATGTGTTATATGAAGTTCTTCCAAATGTAAAACTTCTGAAATCTATCTTTTCCTAAATAGCTTTATGTAAAGGTGCTTAAGTGATAGCTGCTAGTTGTGTAATTTTACAGGTTAGTGTAAAGTCTACTGTTTCAGTGGACCTCTTAAAATAACTGTGTTCTCCTCCAGTGTAGTCAATGTGAACTGTAATATAGAATTGGCACCATATTGTGGGTTCTTTGAGGTGGCTTGAGTCTGTAAGCACTATTTATGTCAAATAAGTCTTCAAGGGTAAAATACCATCCTTGATTCTGTATTTCCTCTCAGATATTACCTATCTACAGATTAAAACCCTTCAATGCTTCTTGTGGGCTATATGATTATGTCTGATTTTTTTTTTCTTGAAATTACATACATTAAAGTACTTTAATATGAATATTCTGTTTTATCCAGGAGCTCATCTTGCTCAAGATCGGGGAAAACTGGAGGCAAAAATTGAGGTTTTAACAAATGAGATGGAGACTTTGAAAAAGCAAAAGGAACAGGACAGTGATGCTCTGCGAATTAAAACCAAAATAGTGGATGATCAGACAGAAACAATTAGGAAATTAAAAGAAGTAAGTTAGGTGTTTGACAGGTACTGTGCTTATATAAAATGAGACTTGCAGTGAAAGTTATGGTATAGGCTCTGGCTATAGAGCTGGTATAGAGCTGGCTATAGAGCTGGTATAGAGCTGGCTCCATGTGCCTAGTTTTTACCGTTAAAGAAAGCGTAAAGAGGCTCTCAGGGGCAACTGAATCTTCAGCTGAGGGGCAGAGGACCTGCTATTGCCTTGCTGGACTGTCGGGGCATCGCTCTGAGCTCTCGTTGAAACGTAGCCATGCAAAGACTTGCTCCTCTTTGCCTCACTTCCAAACAACCTATTCTTGCTGAGGATTTTGAAAGATAAAAAGYAGGAAAGCACAGTTTGTGTATGTTAAAAAAAAGCAGCTAAACTCAAATTAGCCTCATGTTTACTTTACAGTGTGAATGCTTTTATTCTTTAGGATTTGTAGTTCAGTATTAAAACAGTGGAGCAGCTGTTTTGTTCCATTTATTCTGTTCATCTCATTTACAGACTCAAGTCTCTAGCTCATAAATCAGAATAAAGTTTTAAGACATGTTAACCTAGTCAAGACTGGATACATTAAACTATTTAAGCATATTTTTAAGGTTCACAGAATGTGAGCTCTGCTRTTTATATAGGTGGAAAAAAGGTCATTAAAATCCAAATATAGTAACATAATACCCTTATTTAGACATTATTTATATTTATAAGAGTAAATTTTTGCATATCAGTCTCTGATTTATTCCAGATAGAATAAGCAGATATTCTTATCRGGTAACAAAGTTCAGATTGAGAAGCTTTTGTGTGTGTTCTAAAGTGTTTGTCTTCTAAAGGGTTTAAAAGAAAAAGATCAACAAATCAGAAAACAACATGAAGAAAATACTGAGGSTCAAAAGATTTTTCGGATGCAGTTGGATGAAAAAGCTGCTGAACTGGAAGAAYTAATGGAAAAATTAGAAAGGCAAAATGAAAGAAAAGAGGAATTAAAGCAGCTACTAGAAGAAAAAGAAGTAGAACTTGAGGACGTTAAGGAAGTACACAGGTAGTGTATAATTCTAAAAAGCTACTGCTGACTGTGTGAACTCTTTCTCGTGTGAACTTTTAGTTGAGAGAGAATTTTCCTGTTAGCAAAATATACAGAAATGTAGGAAAAAAAATGGAAATGAGGATTTTTTTTTCTGAATTTCTTAGGAGTGGTAAAGTCTCTATTAATTGTAAATGTGTCCATTTTATTTTCAGTGCACTGAAGAAGAAGTGGCAAGGTAAAGGAGAACTATTAAGCCAGCTGGAGGTACAGGTTAAGCAAATGAAGGAGAACTTTGATTCCAAAGAGAAGAAGCTGATTGAAGAGAGAAATAAAAGTCTTCAAGCTCAGAAGTAAATACCTTAGCATGAATATTCCTCCAGTTATTATAGTTTCAATTTTAATATATGCAAAAAGTTTGATTATACCATGAGAGAACCAAGGGAAACACTAATTGGCTGTAATGGTTGGATTAAATTGGGATATGTGTGTGTATGGTTCAATTTCGAATAAATTGATGGGTCATTTAGGAGAAATTGAAATATAAATTGCCTATCATTCTTTTCTCATATAATTAGTAATAGTCTTTTAATTTCTTTTATTGCCACTCTTGTACTGTCAATTTTTTTAAAACACTTGACAGTAAATGTCATCCTAGAAAATGAGCCAGGGTTTAAATGATGCTCAGCTGCTTGCTGCATTTTTGGCAGTATGGAGAAGTAGAGTGAATTGCTGCATGTGATAAGCCTGGATTGTTAGTAGTGTTTTTATTTACTTGCTCCTTATTYTTTTTCCTTCTTCCATTCTTAACAAAGGACCTCTCTCTTTTCAGACTGTATAAATAAGCAGCATTAAATGTATTGTAACTGAAGGAATAATCATGTATTACTAAGRGTTGTTGCTTTATCTTTCTAAGGGAAACAGACTTTTAAAATCACACTTTCACTCTTATTTTAGGAATGATGAAGTAAAGTTGTCATCTGATTAAGAAATGAGGAAGATCACTTGCTGATGTTTGATTTGAAAAACTCAAATCAACAAATCTCGATAGTGCTAGATTTGGGAATATTTGGAAGTTCAGTGGTGAAACTTAAATTTTGTCAGAAAATAATTGTTTTGTTTCACAATTTTGCTGTACATTAGTAGCATAGTGGAAAGAAAAGTGTCTTTGAGTTTTGTTCCTGCCTATTTTTGCATTCCTGCAAAGCAGACTTTGTTTGGAACCAAGGAAACAGCATCCTGGAAGGGTGAGCAAGGAAGAGCCAGGTTTCTCCACTTCTCCTAAGCAGATGGTTTTTCTGYTTTTGTGAAACAAAAGCCTCCAGGCACTTTACAGGATTGTATAGTCTAGGCCTCCCCTTCTCAGGAATCAGCACTGTCTTCCACGATAAGAAAATGTTTGAAAGCACGTGGGCAAATTATCCCTGTTGACAGCAACAGGCCTCAATCTTGCTGTTTTTTTGCTAGTGATTAAATCTTCAACTAGGAGTACCAGAGCCCTGACTGAGGTACCTAAAACTGAATGTGTTTTTGAGAAAAGGAAAAGTCTTCTGAAGGTAGATATTAAAATAATTGTATTGGTGCTGATGTTGTTTCCTAGTGCCCATGTTTTTAGAAGCATCATCAAAGGCAGAACTGAGTAAAGCTCAATACTTTGGGTTGTCTGGTGAAGTCTGTTTTGGGTTTCTTTTTTCCTAGAGTTGCGATGGAGAAGCTTCATGCAATGGATGATGCTTTTAGAAAGCAACTTGAATCAACAATAGCAGCTCATCAGGCAGAACTGTTGCAGCTGGCAAATGAAAAACAAAGGCAAATCGAAGAAGCAAATGAAAAAGTAATTTTAAAGCTATATTATGCATTTTTATATTTTTACTGTACAGCTAGCATAGCAGTGGTACATCAGGTCACCTGTTGATATATGTGTGGCTGATCTCCTCATGGACACAGCCCACCGGGTGCAGTAGGTGGATCTCTGGAGCGTTACAGCCACGAGGTGCTGTGTTGAAAGTCTCGGCATGCACTCTAGCATATGATGCTCAATACCTAAACATTACCTAAAGAGCCAAGAGTGCTGACGATATAGCAGCTTATATCAGATTAAACAGCTGCTGTTCACCCTTGTATTTTCCTGATGTGATCTGTTCTATTTTTTCTTTTTTTTATGGTATGTCATCTAGCGCTTTTTGTACATGGCATGTTTCACTTTTGAAAATTGACCATCTCCTAGTAAATAGATATATATTTTTTTCAAAGCCAAACTTTGCTACTGCACATACTGGCAAAGGTAGTGGGTCACGTAGCTATCTCATGCCATATATCATGGACTTGGGTGTCTGTATTTGTGGTGCTTCCATGCAGTTCCTCATGGAAATGCTTTTACTTCTGATTACAGCTTTAGTCAAAACTGTGTGATGTAGTAAAAAGTTTATAACATGAGTTCGATGCTCATGCATTAAGTGCATAATTCCAGCCTTTGTATCAATGTTAAAAAATACCAGGATGCTATTTGGTATAATAAGGAAAAGCAAGAATTATATTTGATCTCTGTGTTGTTTCAGGTTTATCATGTTGAAGAAGAAATGCGTCAGCTTCTGCAGGAAATGGCAAACAACAAAATATGCATGGAGAATAAAATAAGACGACTTACAAGTGCACTAAATGATATTCAACAAGATCTTTGAAACAGTGTGCCTTACATCTGAGAGTTTCCCTCCTCTTAAATACATACACTAAGAAAGTGTATGGAGTAAGCATATACATATACTATGAAGCACTTCTTTTTTCCTTGTTTTCTTTGGGGAACATTCTCTGGGATGTTTATTTTGAAGGTTCAGGAATCAGACATAAGTATTTTTATAGTATTTTTGTAATAAATTGTTGCTTCTGAATTGTGTACCTGGTATTCTCTTTTTTTATGACTGTTCTGTCACAGTGGATCAAAACGAGTCTGCTGCAAAGCACCTTGTGAAGGTAGGAACTAGCGTTATGTTGAATAGGAGACAAGAAGGTAAAGGGAAAGGAGATCTGATACAAAGAAGCACAGGAATGGGAAAATGGAAAGAGAGGAGGTAGAAGCTTTCTTCCACCAGGGCAGAGAAAACACACTTTTTGTGCCGAATAATCGCTTCTGGGTTATGATGTTATCTTTCCTTTAACAGGTAAATTTTTTAATGGTGTTTTTATTTTATTAATGTGTATTTCTTTCCAGACAAAATCATGGTTCTGGAACACAKTAGGAAGTAAACCACTAAGTACAAATATGGCATTCATTGCTGTTCCTGTTTATTTTAGTCAATTTTGATTTTCTGTAGAAATAGGTTTCCACTCAGGCTTTGCAAATGTAGGAAATAATGAATTAGCCTCTCATTTTATTGGCTTATTTTCAAAAGCTGCTCTATGGTCATTACATTACACCATAATCTGAAGCACTAAATGCTGCAGTAATAGCAATAATCAGTTAGTTGTTAGTACACAAGGTGGAGCTATTTCTTCCCAACACATTGTTCCTAAAGCAGAAGCCTATTGCACTGRTGGAAGTGGAAGCCCCAAAGCTGACCTTAAGTGAGTTTGCTTTGAACTCAAAGTAACGTAGCCTGAGTGTTACAAACATTCTCATGCCCAGCAGCCCAGTAGAAGTACTATTTGCTCTTGCTGGTGCTGGCTGCCCTTGGCCGCCTGTGCAGTTTTGCTTTGAGAACCTGCCGTGTGAGCCAGCGCCTGGTGCCAGGTGTCCCTTCCTGCGCTGCTCAGCTGAGGCGTGGGAGAGCAGCCAAGGCTTTGAGATGGGGCACAAGCGCAAAGCAGAGGCCCCAGCACCACAAACAACTCGCTGCTGGTCAGCGACTGGTTGTTGAAAAAGCACAACTTTGAGATGGGGAAAACAYGGCTTTTACTTTGAAAAAAGCAGCAGCAATGAAGGAGGGAAAAACAATCAGCGTTGTGCCTGCAGGGCCGGGGCACCGTGGTGCCRGTGCGGTGGAGTCTGGGGGCTGCCACTGCCTGCAAATTCAACCATCTGCTAAAAGGGTAAGGGCGCAGGGTGGGAGCGTGGGCAGCAGGGAATCCGCTCCAGCTCCATCCCTGCGCACGGGGCTGCTGCGTGGGACCGTGCGGAGCAGCGAGCACGCGGGCGCCAGCCCAGCAGCTCCGCGTGGCCGCGGGCAGCGGCTCCAGCCCGCCCGAGCTGCGAGTTGGAGCAGCTGCTGCGGAGTGGCGATGCGCGATTGCTCTGCGCACCTTCGGGAGCCGGGCTGCTGCGGAAAATACTCCCCCGGAGAGCTGCCCTGTGTTATTTACGTGGATGTTGCTTGTAAGAGATGTTGCGTTTTGGCAGCGTTTTCAGCATGCTTTCCTCACTGGTCTTTTGTGGTACTTGGGGTAAGGAAAATTAAATGGAAAGCGGACTCTGCCCTTGTCAGAAGTAGCGTATAGTTTTGTGCATTAATCGTGATAACCTAAAAATGATTGGTTTGATTAGATTCAGCTTTGCATTTCCAGACAAGATAATGGTTCTGTCTAAATCGTTGTGTGTRAAATGGGTTAGAAAACTCTTGTGTTATAAGGACTGTTGGTTRGGCGGGAATGCAAGTCAAAGCCCTGAAGTGGCATATATTTATATGTGTGTGTGTGTGTGCATCTGTTTGTGCGTGTATATATATGCTGTTGTGAGCAATAGTGTCTGTGTGTAGGTACACACGTGTGTTCACAGGTTTTCTTTGCTCTGGGGGTGACTTTGTCTTGCCAAGACAAAGCAGAAAACGCCAAGTCGCGGGGCTGACCGTGCAACGCACCCATGTTGCGTAAGGGGGACAAGAGTCGTTCCCACCACAGGTTTTTTCTTCCTGCGTTTCCTTGTGCTCTCCTCGGCCGGCTCCCGTGATGGAAAAGCCCTGGGGAGCCAGAGCCGGGACCACGCTGGGGAGCAGGGGCAGAGCGGCGCTTCCCGGGCTGCCAAAGCCAGGCTGCTGCTGCGGGAGCCCTCGAGCGTGTTGGACAACACCCTCATGAGGTGGCTGCCGAGGAACTCAAACACCTGCTTGTAAAACACATATAAAAACGTATATGGGTGTGCAGAGAGGACGTGGGTGGAATATTCATCCTCTAACAGGTATGGAAGYTGCTGGTTTCCACTGGTCCTCGGTTCTGTTTTGAACCTAGATAGGAATATAGAGAGCTGGAGAAACGGTTTCTGTGCTCCCCGGGCGAAGCGCGCGGGGCGGCCCGGCGGGGCGCGGTCTCCAGGCAACGGCGGCGGCGGCGCGTCACTTCCTGCGGGCCGCACCGGGCCGTTACGGCGGGGGCGGCGCCATGGCCGCGGCGGAGGCGGGCGGCGGCGGCGGCAGCAGCCGCCACGAGAAGAGCCTGGGGCTGCTCACCACCAAGTTCGTGTCGCTGCTGCAGGAGGCCAAGGACGGCGTGCTCGACCTCAAGGCGGTGCGCGGCGGGGCGGCGGGCGCTGCTCTCGGGCTCCCCGGCGGCGCCGAGCGCAGCGCGCGCACACGGGCGGCCCCGCCGTTGTTACCGCGGGCTCGAGACCCGCCGCGTTCGCGTTTGAAAGGAAACGGTCCCGGCCCGGCGGGCGAGTGGGAGCGGAGCCGGGCAGGGACCGGGAGAGCGGAGCGGGGTGAAGGAGACAAAGGGGAGCGTTTCCCTGGGAGGGAGAGGCAGGAAAAGGCAGAAGGAGAGAGGAGGGCGAGCGAATAAGCCGCCCAAAGGGCCCCCAGCCCCGCTGAGTTCCTGCCTTCCTGCAGCGCTGCCCCCTCGGCGTGTTCGCTGGCCTGGCTGCGGCGATTCCGAGGGGGCACCGGGCACGCAGGGATGCGGCAGCGGGAAGGGAGAGCCCGGCCGGACCCCCAGGGGCGACCCTGCCYGCCCGCGCCGCTCGCCTTGCACCCGAGCCCCGCGTCGGCGCRGAGCGTTCGCTCTCGGCTACCGCAGCGTCGCTGGCGTTTGCTGTCACGGACTGCCCTCCTTCTCCACGAATTCTGACCTCTCTGTCGCCCCTCAAGCACGTTAGGCCGTGAGCACTTTAAGCCCTGGCTTGGTGTCTGGGGCTCCTTGGGGCTCCAGTCGTGCTGGGCTCTCCTGCCGTGCCCWGGGCGCCCTTCCCTCTGCCCGGGAAACGCACGGGCAGGAGCCAGCAGCAGCTGCCAGCGCTTGCTGTGAGAAGCAGCAAATCCCGCCCGTTAAGTGTAATGCTCCCTCGTGTCTGTGTGCAGGACCCGCTGCCGAGGCTGTGGCCTGGCCCGGGGCCCTGCAGTCCGGGTGGGAAACGGGCTGCATCCCGACTGCAGCTGCTGGCRGCAGCTCGGGGCATACAAAGTGCATGTGAGTTTGGAGCCCTAAGAGTGCCCTGAGCTTGAAATGCCYGAGTTTAGGCGCTCAGAAGGTGGCTTTTTAAATCTTAATATGCTGTGGTGCTGTAGCTGCACGTTTATATATCAGTACCTCTTACCACTGGGCGCTGTGGAAATGCGTTAACGTCAGCACAGCATCCATACACGGCACGGACACTGTGGGGTGTGCGGGAAAGGAGCCCCTGTTTAGTCACCTGCAGCAGCAGCGGCGGCKGCGCCAGGTGGGATCGTGGAGAGCTGCGGGATGCAGCCTGCGGCCTCTGGACACGTTCGGCCACATACGGGAGAGTGGGCGACACATAGGGGTGGCAGCACCGAGCCCAGGCTCTGCTCGGGAGCACCCAGGCCAGGCTCTGCTTGGGAGCACGCAGGCCAGGCCCTGCTTGGGAGCACCCAGGCCAGGCCCTGCTTGGGAGCACGCAGGCCAGGCTCTGCTCGGGAGCACCCAGGCCAGGCCCTGCTTGGGAGCACGCAGGCCAGGCTCTGCTCGGGAGCACCCAGGCCAGGCCCTGCTTGGGAGCACGCAGGCCAGGCTCTGCTCGGGAGCACCCAGGCCAGGCCCTGCTTGGGAGCACCCAGGCCAGGCTCTGCTCGGGGGCACCCAGGCCAGGCTCTGCTCAGGGGCACCGAGCCCGGGCGCTGCTTGGGGGCACCCAGGCCAGGCTCTGCTCGGCAGCACCGAGCCTGGGCGCTGTTCGGGAGCACCCAGGCCAGGCTCTGCTCGGCAGCACCGAGCCCAGGCTCTGCTTGGTGGCACCGAGCCCAGGCTCTGCTCGGCAGCACCAAGCCCGGGCGCTGCTCAGGGGCACCAAGCCCGGGCGCTGCTTGGGGGCACCGAGCCCAGGCTCTGCTCGGGGGCACCCAGGCCAGGCCCTGCTTGGCAGCACCGAGCCCAGGCTCTGCTCGGGGGCACCCAGGCCAGGCTCTGCTCGGCGGCACCGAGCCCAGGCTCTGCTCGGCAGCACCGAGCCCGGGTGCTGCTCGGGTGGCACCGCGGGGAGCTCTGGTCACGCCGCCCGGCTCCAAGGGTGCAGCCTTAAACTCCATTCCCCTGCCGTTTTCCTTCCTGTTCCCTTCACTAGCAAAACCTTCGCTAGTATCAATCGGACTGCTAATTCCTAGAAATTAACTTGCTAGTTGAAAAATGCAGTTTGATTGTTTGCTTTCTTTTGGAAGGCCAGCAACATTTTTTATGGCTCAGGAATACTATAAAAAGAGGTACATGTTTTTGCATATAAGGATGTTATGCTTGTATTCCTTCTATATCAAGAAGGATTTGGTTCTCCTGATTGAGCATCTGGCTTTGAAAYGATTTTTTTCTTTCCCTTCAGAAATACAGATTTATTACTGAGTGTTCCCTCCTGCCCCCGGAAAGTGGCTGGGTCTGTGTTTTCCCTCAGCAATCAGCTTGCTGACTCCTGTCACTCCTTCCTTAACAGGCTGCTGATACTCTTGCTGTGAGACAAAAGAGAAGGATCTACGATATCACCAACGTTTTGGAAGGAATTGATCTCATTGAGAAAAAGTCAAAAAACAGCATTCAGTGGAAGTAAGTCCGTGCTGCCTGTCTCAAGAGCAACTCCCTTCTGCTTCCCTTAGCGAGATGTGCTGGCAGAGCCCTGGTGTTAGGCTCAGCAGGGAGCAGCTCCGCACATCGGAGTCACCGCAGAGCTGCAGGGCCCAGCGTGTTCCTTTAACCTGCATCTTTGGTGCCAGGTTTGGTCTGAAGCTTTTATGAGGGAAACTCCTGGGAAACTTGTGTGGCCACCCTATAAACTGCTCTGACGGATGAAGCATTTGCTCTAGGTGGATTTGGGGAAGCTCCTGAGACACTCTGTCTCCACCTCTAGTTGTGCCACGCTTATTATTGGTCATACAAACCAGCCATATAAACCATATAAAAACAGAAGGAATTACGTTCCAAAGACAATATATAATTAGATAGAAGTGAGTTCTCAATTTGATCTTAAATTTAGATTTTTTGGTTGTTGTTAAAACACTGCTGGGAAGGTAAAMATTCATTTGCTTCATCCTGAATATTGGAACATCGTTTGTGAAGTCTGCTTTACATATTTAAAAATAATAGTTGCATGTTTGCTTTAGATTTTCACATGCTCTGATTTCATGAATCCTTGTACTCTTTTAAGAGGAGTAGGTGCTGGCTGCAACACAAAGGAAGTCATAGACAGACTGAGATATCTTGAAGCTGAAATCGAAGATCTAGAGCTAAAAGAAAAAGAATTGGATCAGCAGAAACTGTGGCTGCAGCAAAGTATCAAGAATGTTATGGACGACTCTACAAATCATCAATATCCTTTTAAACAAATATTGTGCACATCTTGGGAGTACAACTAAAACAACAGTTGTGTGGTAAAACTAATGTAGTTCATTTACTCATAAGCAAGGGAAGGAATTTTTTTCTGGTTTTGTTTCAGCATTAGAATTGTAAAAGACCCGTTTACTTGACCTCACCTTTGTAGCTGTTCTGCAAGTGATCTAGCATATGTATATATGGCAGTAATTTTTAAATCTATAATATAAATCAGATATCTGATTTTAAATTAAATATGTTGCTTTGGGCCATTTGATGCTTTTTAGCAATATTTCACATTGCTCTTTTTCTATGTTGTTTCTTTCTCTTGAAAAGATGTAGATCTCTCCCAAAGAAATGGAGTTGGCAACGTGCAGCTGGCTTGGCCTGGAGCTGCATCCGAGGAGCGTCGGGCCTGCAAATGAGCAGAGTTCCTGCTGCACTTGTTTATTCCTTGTGCCTGTGTSTTTAGCTCTCTTACAAGTCACTGTGCAAAATGGACATCTGGGGTTGGGAGCAGGGTATAAGCTGTGATCGGTACTTAAAATTACTTGCAGTTACAGAAGGTGTTCCTATAAGGTGGATTTTGCAGCAAAGGAGATAGAAGCTAGACGCTAGGGACTTCCCGTCAGGAGAGTTAAGCATGGAGTTGATCCCCCAAGGAGATGGTGGAATCTCCCTCACAGGAGTTTTTGCAGAACAGGAAATGCAACCCCCTGTCTGGAGTGTCTGAACTGTTGGTGCTGTCTCGAGGCAAGGGGCAGGACTGCAGTGAAGGAGGAAGCCCCTCCAGGAGGCTGCGATCCTGCAAGGTCCAGGATTTGCCACAGGCAAGTCTGAGAGTCAAGTGGTACTCTTAAAAGCAAGACTTTATATTTTACTTTTTAAAATAGTCTCATTCATTTTATTTCAAACTACTTCCTTCTTCTACTATTTTCCTCACATACAGAGTTTGTTTGTTTTTACAGTACAGAACTGTGCTGTTTTTAAGTAGCCATTCTGACAGCCAGAAGTCACGGCCTCATTGCATCCCTTGAGTAACAGCAGTCAGTGCACAATTTAGAYACAATTTGGACAAATGTCTTTTAAAGTGCAATAAACACCAGTTTCGTGTTGTTTGAWGAAAACTTCCTTGACAAAAGTTACATTTTCATATGTCACCCATGAAGATATCTGTAATTGCTTCAACGGTAAGTTCCTGCTGGAAAGATCAGGGATTTCCTTATGTTCCTATTAAGAACTAACTTGTATGTATTGCATGTTTTTTTTTTTTTTTTCTATCTTCCAGTAACACAAGAAATAAAAAGCAACTGCTTTTTCCCTGAAATTAATTTGAATTTAGAAAATGTTCAATAGTGATTGGTAGTAAATGGATGCCCCTCGTGCCCATGGCCTACGACTTCTGGCAGATGAAGGAACTTGTGTTGTAGTTGTAGTCACGAGTTGTACAAGACAGAGTTTTGTCAGTTTTGGGAGCACCGTTTGGGACTTGCCTCAGGTCACCAACAGAAGCAGGTGCAGGGCACGTTGGTCCAACACACCAGAAAGTCCAGGCAGGTCCAAACCTCATAGCATTTTTTGGTGGCAGCTGCAGCCAGAGGAAATTCCTTAAGATAYTGGATAAACGGAGCCAGTTAAACTTCAGAGATGGGACAAGGCTACCAAATCCAAAGGAGTCCTTCTGTACAGGGCATTTGAGGAGCTTGCTAGGAGTTCCTGGCACAGATCACTTCCTGGTGCCCTCCTGGTGTCCTGTGCAGGGGATTGCCCAAGGGAAGATTGTTCCTCAGCTTTCAGTGAGGCTCAGTAACATCTCTTGCTTCTTTGTGACAGTGAAGGTTGGGCTTGTTTTTAAATAAAAGTGCAAGTTTAGACAGGTAGCGTGAGCTCTTACTTAGTAATTACAAAGCGTGGAGRTGTTCAGTGTGTCAGTCACGTAGCACTTGCTGTAAATATCTCGTGGCAGAGAGGAGCATCCTTGCACATTGTGAACAAGATAAGCGCATGACCTGCAGCATCAGGCAGTTTGTGTCAGCCCGTTGATATAATTGTGATCTCCTGCTTTAGCAGTAAATTGCAGCGTGTGTACAGTGAGCTCCAGGTGAAGGAGATGGTCGCCCTTTATGTATCTGCTGTTTGTGCTGCAGAGGTTTTGAACTCAGGTGCTTGGAAATGCTGGCACAGAAGAAAACCTGTGAGACTTTGGTTTCCTGCCCTTGTGAATACTCCCTGTGTTCCCACCATTTTTCACAGCCATAGAGAGAGCTGGAAGTCTCTTAGCTGAAAAGTTAGTTAAGTAACTTTAGTTAGTTAGTTAAGTATACGTTCTCCCATCACGTTATGTATACAAGTGGGAGATAAAGATATGGTAACAAGCAGGTCAGGAACTGTTAAATCTGGCACTGCTGCCAGAAAAGGCCCTTGCAACTATGGTCTCAGTGTTGAAATGCTGTGGTTTGCATTACATGATGTACTTGAATCTTACAGGGACTGGCATGAGTTCCCAGCCCCAACTTTCTATTTACACTAGGATTTTGCAGTATGTGGCCTTAGAGAATTACCATCTCTCATTTCAGTACGTACCATGCAAGACTTCAGAAAAATATGCACAGTTAACGCTTTCTTAAAAATTGCTATTTAACCAGGAGACACACTTCTAGCAATACAAGCACCTTGTGGTACACAGTTAGAAGTACCTATACCCGAAATGGTAGGTACTGGTTTCTTGTTTACCTAAGTGTTCAAGGCTGGCAATGGAAAAGAAGAGCTATGTTAGAGCTAGGGGTTTATTTCTAGCCMTGTGTTAGAGGGGAAAAATTAAGATTATCTCAGTTGAGAGTGGAGGGACAGGGTGGGGAATAAGAATTTTTGTACACCTATACAGACTAATGTGTCTTCCATTAAAGACAAGATGGAATGGAGAATTTCTCTGCACCCCGCTTTTTGTTACCCTAAAAGCTGCAACTATGCAGCTTGACATACTTATTTGAATTCCAATTCATTTCCAATTGAATTACAGTTAAAATTGAAAATTTATTAGCGCTGACTTTTAGATGAAGTTTCTCTGCTTTTCCTCTGTACTGGATCCTGTATGGAAAAGCCTTTTAGATTTACAAGTAAAAATTGTTCAGTCATATGGCTCTAGGCTGGATATACAACACAGACTGTGGTCTTGCTTCAGCCAGAGGCTTTGAATGAGCAGCCTTAAAAGTAGGAGCTCCAGTTATTATCTCTGTCCCCCTTTACTTCTTGCACTGCAGTGCTGTGTTTTGAACAGGGCTCACGTGGCTGGGAGCAGGTGCTGTATGAAGCTCGTTGGCCCCCCTGTGCCTGGAGGACGCTGTTCGTGGGACGGGTTCCCACAAGCTGCTTCTCGTGAGGCTCAGCCCGCCCTGCTAACCCAAGGACATCCCAAACTAGAGCACGAGGCCGCCGCAGTGGCACTGTCCTTGTCCAGCCGCTCACGGCGGCTCAGGCAGCGCGAGGCTCTCGATGCCACCCGAGTTACCTGCTTCAGCTTTTGGGCTTCCTGTTGAGGACTAAAACAGCTCATCACAGGTGTCCCCTGCAGCTTCAGAAGGGATATTGTGGCATTGGTTTCCCTTCCCTCTCTCTGTCCCAACTTTCCTCATCCTCATTTTTTCCCCAAGTGCATTTGCTGCTATTTGCAGCAGTTTTGCAGTTAGAAATAAGSACTGTGGGATCAGCAGTCTCACTGGGACTGTGCTGCAGGAAGCTCGTCCTAGCTAAGCTGTTCAGATAACTTTTCAATGAGAAGCCCTGGCAAATTGGCTAAGAAAATGTTTCTAATCACTCGTGGTCCTGTGTTCCCTGACTCAGGGTGGGATATTCAGCAATAATTGGATGGTTAGTCCCAGCTAAGGTRATTGTGAAGCTCAGTTTAAAAGGAAGCAATCTAGGAGTACAGAAATCACTGCTTATCACCATTAGTAAGATGTAGCCCTGCTGTAAGTCTCGTGTAACTTTAACTCAAGATCAGTTAAGCACTTTGGAGGGTTTTATATTTTTGTATTCTGTAACTGTGTTGTGGTCAGGTAAATATATAACAGGTTTGTGACCTGTCATATATCTGTTTTAAATCAGGTATTTTCCTCCTGAGTATGATCTGATACATTTATCAGTTACCTCTTGCTATGTTCTGACTAGAAGAGCACTGTGCTTACCTCCTAGAAGGTAGAAAAGCACAATTTGAGTAATCTCAATTTGAATGCCTTCTTTATTTGCTATGGGAAATAACTCCAGGCAGATACTGCTATTTTTTGTAAGTTTTAAGCTCTCCAGGAAGGTAACTTTCCTCATCTGCTACTTCGCAGGGACAGAATGGACAAAAGAAATACCAGATCAACCTTAAAAGTAGTTCAGGACCCATCCAAGTGCTGCTTATAAATAAAGAGTCGAGTTCCTCCAAGCCCATGGTGTTTCCAGTCCCTCCTCCTGATGACCTGGCACAAGCCCCATCCCAACCCGCGACTCCGGTGACCCCCCCTAAACCTGCCCCTGCCACCCCGAGCCCCCCCGAGCAAGGGGACCTTAACCAGGAGCAGCATTTGCCACAAACACCAGTGACAGAAGCACCCTCAGGTAGGTCCAGGGTTGCTTTCCACTTCATTTGGGTAGCAGGAGCGGGGGCGCCGGAGGGAGGAAGGTCTTGGAGAGGGGTAGGAAAAGGAGAGGTCGGTAACAACCTGCAGGACACAGCAGCTGTCTGCAGGAGCTGCCCCAGGGCTTACCTAGAGCTCTGAGGAGGTTGCAGAGAAGTCTCTTCCACTTCCATCTTTCATTAGGCAAAGCTGGTATCCCTTGGTAGCCTGACATCTTGCCCCAAAGGGGTTTGGGATGTCGCTCGTGTTGGATGTGCAGGAAGCTCCTGCAGGAGAGGGGCGCAGGGCGGCACTGCTGGCCCCACAGGGACAGGTTGGTCCTGGCTCCGTGCGCAGCCGCCCCTGCTCCTGTGCCACGGGGTGGCTCCCCACACGGTCCCCACAGGGCCTGGCAGCCTGTGGCCTGGGCTTGGGCTGGTTGGTTGTTGTTTGGTTTTTAGGATAAAGGTAGGGTGATATAAGGATGCTAAGAAAACACTCTAGATACAGCAAAGTARCTGTCTGAGGAGTCCTGAGGACACTCTGCCCCTGACCTTTGGCGGGAGATAAGGGGAGTCTCTTACTCCAACCCTGACATTGGCCATGTCCTCCTAGTAGGACAACGCCAAGTGTGAATACCCTGTGTTCCTTTTTCCCTAAAACTGCCTTAATAACGCGCTTTTCCCTCGTTGTAGACAGTAGTTTGCAGCAGGACAGTGCAACTTCAGCAGCTGCCTATCCCAGCCTTGCAGAGCCCGCCTTATTCCCCAGCCTGTCAGGAGAGGGCGCCCAAGCTGCAGGCGGCCCAAGCGACTATCCGGCCCTGCTCCCGCTGGACGTGAACTGTATTCTCAAGCCAAATTCGTTTGACATAGCAAAGATGGATGAGCCCGCAGGTAGGCACCAACAGTTTCTATTCTGACTCTTTTACTGGTTTCCGACCAAATTACCTGTGAATTATCAWGGGGTAAAGCTGAAAACCTCTGCCGCAGAGGACAGGCCTTTGTCCASCTCCTAACAAAGCCATWGAACCACTCGGGAGTAGCAGTCCCRTGTTGAGCAAAATACCCTGCTCCTGGCAAAATGAGCTTTGCATTACACCCCGTGCTAAGGTTGTAACAGATCAACCGTTSAGCCCAAAGAGAGGGAGAGAAATTTAGCAGGAACCTCTAAGTGGTAAAAAGACAAGTATCTTTTCAGTACATAGAGCACACGGACCATGCCCACGGCTCCTGCAGAGCACACATGAGCTGTACTGTACCTTGCAGGTCAGTGTTTCCGTGCAGAGAACCTGYACTAGCGACCATAAATGCCTGCTCCTGTCTTTCACAGGGACTATCAGTGGGGATATCATTGATGAACTCATGTCTTCCGATGGTGAGTACTGAGTCTCTTSACTTTGCAGTAGTAGCCATCAGCAGCAATGGGGCTGTCTGCACAGTGCCCTTGGTAGGCGCCTGTGACACCCCATGCTGAGGGTCGGGCTGCTGCCTTCCCTCTGCTGCTTCCTCTGTCCTCTCTTTCTGGTCTTTGCTCCCTTTTCGGTTGCCCTGTAACAGTTCTATTTCCAGTCAAAATGTGAATGTCTCAATTGAGCACTTGCCAAGCACGAGTAGCTCAGCAGCCCTTCGCTCCGGGGCACAGAAGGAACACGCTGGCGACTGGGGTGATGCCTCAGCACGTGCCCTGGTTTCGTTTTGTCCTGCGGCAGCTCCCGCAGGAGCCTTTGGGAGGTGTTTCAGAGCAGCCTGGGCAGCTGTAGGACGGGAGCAAATCCCCCTCTTGTTGCGTTGCCCAAAGGCTGCCTCAAGTCGCTGCCTGAAACGCAGCGCCCAGGGAGCTGCTGGCCTCCGATTTCCATGTGCAATGGGGACAGTGGAATCATAAATGCTGGAAGACCAGAGTGCTGTAGCAGGAAGCGGGAAATGCCAATGATGTGGGCGATGGCTTTCTCATGGAAATGTCCCAAGCTGCTCAGCAGCTCCTTTGCTGCACAAGGAGGGCTTAGTCTGCGCTCCACAGCAATCACTCCCTGCCAGCAAAGTAAAACATTAAAACACTTAAACGTTAAGAAAAAACTGAGACGTATCATTGCCTTAGTTTTAAGGCAATGCAGGTATCCCAGCGTGCCTATCAGTGTCAAGACAGTATTTTAATCATCATCAAGTCTGGCCTTGGGGATGACAGACATGCTGAATTATGAGACAAGGCTCATATTCCAGAAGTGCTTTAATTTAAACTAAACTATTCCTGCTTTACAGTTTTCCCTCTCTTACGACTCTCTCCTACTCCCGGAGATGACTACAACTTTAACCTGGATGATAATGAAGGAGTCTGTGATCTCTTTGATGTGCAGATACTAAATTATTAGATATTGTGTCAACCAGACTATCTTATCTACCTCTAACTATAACATTCTAGACTTCTTCATAACCCGAGTATTTGAATAATGAATGTAWAACTTCTTAGTTCACTGACTCTGGGAGTGTATTTCCTCCTGCTTCCTTTAACTACTTCACAAAACGAATGAACAACCAGAGGAAAGGGCTTTCATCAGAAATTCTGGCTTTTTTTTTCACYTGCGTGTCCTTTGTGTAATCCAATGATTCAGAGCTTTCTTTTGTAAGAAAAGCGAAAATGCTTTATAGCCTTTTGATCATTTGAAAAAAAAAAGATGATTTGGCTTCCTGCTCACAGTTATCAGCATTTTTTGAAGCTTTACTGCCAAGAAGCTTTCTGTACCTTTCAATCAATAACCTTTCAATCAATTTTGAAGCTTTCACTGCCAAGCTGCGAAGTGAAGGACATCAACCTGAGTTACGCTAAATTGCTTCGGTGAACCAATTTTGTGAAGTGCCTTCTGTTTTAGCACTTTAAGTTCCTCACACTGACTTCTTACATTCCACTTTCCTAGGTTATAGGAAAGGCCTGTTTGTAGTTTGTATTAAAGTGTGCCAATACTTGTAAATTAACAAGATTTTTTTAATAAAATTGTACAAACAAAGCAACGACTCTGTACACTCCTCCTTTCTTGGAATCCCTGCATCATTTATTATGCATCACAGCTGAGATAAGAGGTTTGTGGCAGCATCCACGTTTGCTGGTTCCTGCTCCAGATTGTTGGAAACCTGAAAATAGGAAGTTTCACTTCTAAGTAGAGTGCATTTTTTAAACAGCTTTAGAAAAATATAAAACAATAACCAATACTTGTTGTCTAGAAGATTAGACTAAATTAAATAAACCAAAGACTAATGCTGCAGTCAGTTGGGCGTTTGGGAGGGCACTAGGGGACTGCCTGGATGTGACAGAGCAGGGCCCCGTACGCAGGGGCACAGACCCTGGTGCCAGSGCCGTGCGTGGGAAGAGGCTCCGCTCCGGGCTGAGGGAATCGCGCCCCGCGCAGCAGCACTGGGAGGCCCGGGAAGAAGCCCCGGTACATGGAGCCCATGGGACCAGATCCATGGCCGGATGAGCGCACAAGGGGGGCGCCCCCCGTCCCAGCCTGCCCCACATCCCGCTGTGCCCAAGGCGCCGCTGGCGCTTCCCAGCTCCCAGTTCAGCCTCTCCTTGAGGCGCCTGGCACTGGTCCTGCTGCCCCAGCGCCACAGAACCTCAACTGCCCACGTGCGGCAAACACAACTCGTGCCCCGTTACTAACTAACTTCCCTGCTGCCCCCCGGACGGATTCATCTTTGCTCCCTGCTGGGCTCTGGCTCCTGCCACCCCCAAACSGTGGCCAGCTCAAGGGCAGCCGGCAAGAGGAGCTGTCGGCAGTTAAACCGTGAGACCGTCTGGCCCTGCTTACGGGGCCGGGCCGGACAGGGCAAGGGGAGCCCAACGCTGCCTCGAGCCCACGTGTTGCCGGCGGGAGCCTGGGCACAGGCACGGGGACGGGGACCGGGGCCGCCCTGCCCCGTGCTGCAGTTCTCGTGAGCACGGCCGGAGGTTCCGCTCCCCGAGTCCAGAAGAGCTACTGGGCGCCTCAGGAGGGAGCAGGATGAGTCACTCCGGAGCCTATCCATGTTGAGGCACAGGCCTCACAGCCAGGGCCAGCGGCTAGAGCTGCCTTTAAAAAAATCCTTTAGAAATCAACCGCTGGAGCCTCATTAAAATCCCATGGGAATGCGCTCGGTCCTGGCTGCCACCCYCTGCCCCTCCGAGCTGACGCTAACCAGATTTCAACATGAGCATGCAACTGAAATTAGGAAAGCTGGGTTTACAGCACGAGAGCAGCAGGATGAGGAGCTGCAGCCTTAGGGATGGAGCCAAAGGCTCTGGATGTGGCGCGCCGTGAGGGGCCGAGGGGGAAGGGGGASTTACCTGAGGTTCCTGCTGCGGCTCCGCGGCCGCGTCTCCCGAGGGCGGCTGCTGCATCTGCTGCTGCAGCTCGCTGAGCGCTCTGTCCAGCGCTCTGACCTTCTCCTCCTGCACAACGCTGATCTGCAAAGGGCAACGGCGGCGTTTTGGGGGGCGCCCCGCGGCTCCCGCGCGCTAACGAGCACCTGCGACGGGGCCGCGCGCGCTACACGACGCGCCGTCAGCCGCGCGGAACGGCGCTCCCGGCCCCGCGGAGCCCGAGGTTCCCGCGCGGGCCCGCGCGTACCCTGC